TCTCTCAAAAATAAATAAAATATTTTTAAAAAAAAGTTGATACAGAGGCCTTACCTGGGTTCAGTCCTGTAGGCCGTCCAGTTGCTCTGAACACCTATCTCAAGGCTGTGTCCTTGCAGCAGCCTCTGGGAGCGTGGGCGTCAAGCAGAACCCACAATCCAAAAGCAGAAGAGGGGTTGAGGAGCCTCCGAGGGCCTGGGTCCAGTTCACCGGTCATCAGCAGTCTATTTTCTCCATGATCTCCCCCAACAAATAGGAAAGGGTAGTAAAATATTTAGGAGGTGATAGATTCTGTGTCTATATTTCCTTTATTTTTAATAAGATTTAATTGTAAGTGTATAGAGTTTAAAATAATGGGTCATGCCTGGGGGGCCTGAGAGGCTCAGTCGGTTAACCGTCTGACTCTTGATTTCGGCTCAGGTCATGATCTCACGGTTTGTGAGTTTGAGACCCTGCATCAGGCTCTGCGCTGTTAGGATTCTCTCTCTGCCTCTCCCCCACGTAGGCTCTCTCTCTTTCTCAAAATAAATAAATAAGTGTAAATTAAAACCAATGGCCATGCTTAATAACCAGTTAAAAAAATTCCTGAAAATTCAATAATCGGTTCTTGTGAATAAGCTGGAGCTGGCCCCGGCACCCCCCTGCTGGTAACAGACTTCTGGAAATCCCTGGCTGGGGCAAGGGTGAAGAAAGAGTAAGGTCAAACTTTATGAGGATGTCAAAAAAACTCAATAATCAAGAGAACTACTATTTAATTTTTTAAACAAACAATGTGTTTGTTTTAGTTTTTATTTATTCATTTATTTAAGCAATCTGTAACCCTAACATGGGGCTCGAACTTACCACCTCGAGATCAAGAGTCACATGCTCTACCAACTGAGCCAGCCAGGTGCCCCAAGATAAATGATAATTTTAATGCAATGTTTTAAAAATCAAAATTATGGAGAAAACAATCCATGATGAACAACTTGCCAAAATTTAAATACACAGAAGATCAGTGGAAACTTTGAGGGTGTGAGTCTGGAAGCGGGGTTGGGGAGGGGGGGGTTTGTCCACCAGGTAAAGTCACCTGTCTAATGCGAAAAAAAGAGTTCAACCTCGAAAGAGAATCTTTTTTTTATGTTTACTTATTTATTTTGAGAGAACGAGAGAGAGAGAGAGAGGGAGAGCGAGCAGTGGAGGAGCAGAGAGAGAAAGAGAGAATTTCAAGCAGAGTTTGCACTGACAGGGGCAGCCCCGACTTGGGGCTCAATACCAGGAACCATGAGATCATGACCTGAGCAGAAATCAAGAGCCCCCTGCTCACATTGTGTCTGTCTCTTTCTCAAAAATAAAGAAACAAATTTAAAAAAAACCACTTTGTGCTTTTGATCCCTTGTTTTCTTGTAACTTGAATGGATATTGTCATTAATTTTTTAAAATGTCTATTTACTTTTTTTTTAATGTTTTTTATTTATTTCTAGGAGAGTGAGAGAGACAGCGTGAGCAGGGGAGGGTCAGAGAGAGAGGGAGACACAGACTCTGAAACAGGCTCCAGGCTCTGAGCTGGCAGTCAGCACAGAGCCCAACGTGGGGCTCGAACCCACAAACCGCGAGATCATGACCCGAGCGAAAGTCGGACGCTTAACCGACTAAGCCACCCAGGCGCCCCTAAAATGTCTATTTACTTTTGAGAAAGAGAGAGACAGTGTGAGCAGGGGCGGGGTAGAGAGGGACAGAGACACAAAATCCAAAGCAGGCTCCAGGCTCCTAGCTGTCAGCACAGGGTCCGATGTGGGGTTCGAACTTACGATCCCACTATCGACAGTGAATCAATTGGCTACTCAGAATATTTATGTGACCATACCTCCGGCTGGTGACAGGACTATTCAGTTTACTCCCTGTTACCAAGTTCACATACAGTTCAAATCCACATAGGACACGATGCACTTCTCCACGTGGACCTTCTTATTCTATCCCACTTGTGCTATTTCTTGTACTCCCGGGCTCCAGTGGCCTGCTGAGAGAACTACAGGCCAGCTGGGGTCTCCTGGACACCTGGGGTATGGTGTCATCAGACCCTTCCCCCACTCAGCACCTACTCTCCAGAGTCCTTCAAGTGATGAGTCAGACACTCGGAGTGTTCTGACTCTTCCTACAACCCTTCTCATGAATCTAATTCAGCTTGAATGGCCTCCTGTTCTCTCTGACCCACTGAGATGCTCCCCCAGGCTTGTGGCCAGAACAGACAGCCTGGGGGTGGGGAACCAAACTGTCACAGGAGACTGCTGGACTCTCAATGACACCAGGGCCAGATAAAGTCCCTAGATTACTGGCCAAGATTCAGCCCAGGGGAACAGACATGGGAAAGCACTTCTCACTTTCAGCATATACTTGAAGAGGTTCAAGTTTTCCATCAGGTGAAATCCATTCCACCTATGGAAGGAGCTGGGTGGGTGGAGAGAGATACTAGATCAGTGTCGGTAACTGTTCTCTCCCCATCTAGGATCAGGCCAAGGATGTTCCTGTAAAAGGCTCCCTCCTTCATGTACCTTGACCACATGGAATTTCTCCATGGGCTGACCTGGATCTCACCTGAACTTTATTTTTTTTAATGTTTTTTTTTTAATTCATTTCTAGGAGAGAGAGAGAGAGACAGTGTGAGCAGGGGAGGGTCAGAGAGAGAGGGAGACACAGACTCTGAAACAGGCTCCAGGCTCTGAGCTGGCAGTCAGCACAGAGCCCGATGCGGGGCTCGAACCCACTAACCGCGAGATCATGACCTAAGCGAAAGTCGGACGCTTAACCCACTAAGCCACCCAGGCGCCCCTTCACCTGAACTTTAATGCAGACCCTTCATTTGGGGATTGATTATTGCTCTCTAATCAGTCCCATGGGTTAATTATTTAAGCCATTCCTTGCTTTCCAAGGCTGCCTTACCTGGGACTTGCCTTGTGGGGGTCGGGGGGCTGTCCCAACTTCTCTCAGATCCAACTGTGGCTCTTATGATGTCAGCATGAATCAGGGCACTGGGCCCCTCATTCATCTGGAAGGAAAGGGTGGTTGGCTTGGCGTGCTGAGTTAGAGGTGCCTATGGGAAAGGTCTGGTTCTTGTGCTTGTGAGAAAGATCGAAGCTGGAGATGAGGACTTGGGAGTCATTAATGCATTGCGGGTGGCAGTAGAAGCCGCGGGGATGAGTTGCTCAGGTGGGGTGAGTTGCGTGAGAAGAGAAAAAAGGATCAAGACCTGGTCAGGCAGAGGTGCCTGCGATGAAGACTGAGCAACTGGAGAGGCTGCAGCGAAACCAAGAGACGGCACTCACCGAAAATATGGAGAAACCTCAAAAAAGGAGGGAGGAGGGGTGCTCGGGTGGCAGTCAGTTAAGCATTGGACTTCAGCTCAGGTCATGATCTCACAGTTCATGGGTTCAAGCCCCACATCTGGCTCTCTGCTGACAGCACTTCAGATCCTCTGTCCCCTCCTCTCTCTGCTCCTCCCCTGCACATGCTCTCTCTCAAATAAATAAACATTAACAAAAAATTTTAAAAATGGGGGGGGGGGGCTGCCTGGGTGGCTCAGTCGGTTAAGTGTCTGACTCTTGATTTCTGCTGTCATGATCTCACGGTTTATGAGTTCAAGCCCCGCGTCAGGGTCCACACTGACAGTGCAGAGCCTGCCTACTTAGGATTCTCTCCCTCTCTCTCTGCTCCTCCCCTGCTCATGTGCTCGCTCTCAAAATAAATAAATACTTTTTAAAAAAAATTTTAAAAAGAGGGAGGGGCGTCTGGGTGGCTCAGTTGGTTAAGCCTCCAACTCTTAATTTCGGCTCAGGTCATGATCTCACAGTTCGTGAGTTCGAGCCCCACATAGATTCTGTCTCCCTCTATCTCTGACCTTCCCCTGCTTGCTCTCTCTCTCAAAATAAATAAAAATAAACTTTTTTTTTTAAAAGGAGGGAGGAATCAACGGTGTCAAATGCCGCTGAGAAGTCTAGTATAATGAGGTCTGAATTAGAGTCAACAACTGGGAAGTCATGGAGGACCTTTGGGGCAGCTCATTTAGTGGCCTGGTGGGGGCAGAAGCAGGGCCAATCATATGCTGGGCTGGGCTGCACAGAGAACTCTGGGTACCAGAGAAGCATTTCTGCCCATGTTGACTGGCAACGCTCACTACCTCTGTTTACATTTATGTTTCTCTTAGCTACGTACTACACCCAAACACATTACTGGTTGGGGCCGGTGCCACGGTAGGAGATCTATTTCAGTACCCTAAAAACTACTGGGTTCCGAGATAGTACCATCTCACAGTTTACCTTTACGCTCTGAGTTTGCAAGCTGGTAACCACTTTAACTGGTTTAACATAAACCGGGCTTCCCATAGCAATGCTAGTCCCACACCACCCATTCCACGGACAACAACTGGCTGGAGGGAGTAGCAGCCTCAGCCTTGCGCTCTCCATCTGGTCAGTTGCCTCCACCTCCACCACCGTCCCGATTTTTCTTACACTTGGCTAGCTTAACCCATGTGTTCACTCATTTGTTGGGCCCCTTCTCTCTCCTCAAAGGTTTAACTGTGAAACAAAACATATATTGCATACATTTGTACCACGCTTTCACGTTTGTTTACGAAACCCCTTCCATCATTTACCTCTCACAACCCCTTCGAGGAATGATTAGGCTGGAAGAGCAGTGGCGAGGCGCGTGCGCCCTCTGCCGTCACCCCGGCGCACTGCAGCCTCGCGGACGCGCTCCCGCTCCCCACCTCCTGTCAAGAGCTCCAGAGGAGGCCTCCAGGCGAGTGCCCGCGCAAAGCTTCCTGGGAAATGCCTGGCCTACAAATCCCAGTACCCACCGCGCTGCAGGCCGGAAGCAGGAGGTGCTTTCTGTTGACTCTAAATCTTGCTTGTCAGTGTCACTGGATGCTGCACAAGCCCGATTCAGCATTCCCAAGATGCTTTTGGGGAACATGATTTCGCTTCCGCCGGGTGCGCACGAGCGGACTTTGCTTCCCCGGCTTCTTGGTCTTGCCCATTGTGGCGAATCTGCCGTTGCGGTACGGCGGCTAGATGTGCAGGACCCCAACCGGAAGCTTGCGGAATCAGCCGCGGGAAGAACGCCCGGGTTTTTTGGGCACCTACAGTCATGGCGGCGACGGCCCCCGGTGCGGCGGGCTCCGCGCCTGAGGCCGCGGGTTCCGACGAAGCCCCGCTACAATACAGCCTTCTTCTGCAATACCTGGTGGGCGACAAGCGTCAGCCCCGGCTCCTGGAGCCTGGTAGCCTGGGCGGGATCCCGAGCCCGACCAAGAGTGAGGAACAGAAGATGATCGAGAGGGCGATGGAAAGCTGCGCGTTCAAGGCAGCTCTGGCCTGCGTGGGAGGTGAGGCAAGACTCGGGGGGCAGTTGGGTGGCTGAGGGCTTGGACGGCAGAGGGGTCCTCTGCCAAGAAGACCACGCGTCTGGGAGGCAAGGAGCCTGTGGATCTCGACCTTGACTACACCCCTGCCTCGATCCGAGAACTCGAGTAACCCCACTCTAGACCCTGAGGTTAGTTTTCCCCTCTGGAAAGTGGATCGGAGAACCGGTACTATTTGGGCCGGGGCCTGGAGGTTGGTTATAAAATGGTTGGCTTCGTTCATTCATTCGTTGATTTTAGATAAGGATTCTTTCAGCAAATTGTTATAAGCAACTGTTTACATGCGCGGTGGTGGAGGCACAGGGGGAGACAGAGCCTGGTTCTCACGAAGCTAATATTTTAATATATGTAGAAACAGTGTTGAGAACGAGCCTGGCAAGAGAGTGCCGCGGACAAACGGGAACAGCAAGTGCAAAAGGTCTGGCAGGAACCGGTTTGAAGTGTGAAAAACACAAAGGCCACTGTCGCCAGTGTGACTAGATCGCAGTGAACAAGGGAGAAAGACGCCTGGAGTTGGCCCTTTTGTGTTTTTTTTGTTTGTTTGTTTTTTATTTGTTTAAGCCTTTGGAGGATTTGAGAATGTGTCCCTCCTGTAAAGAGGTTGGCCACATTTGCAGAGGAGTTGAAATCTCACCGAGAATCAAAGACAATCGAGAAACAAATATAGTGAGAGTGCAGATGTACAGCATAGTAAAAAGCAAAAAGGCTTTTGGGTTTGTTTTCTGTTTTGGGTTTTTTTTGTGGTTGTTTTTTGTGGGGTTTTTTTTGTTTTTGTTTTTGTTTTTTTGGTGTGGGGAAGACTACAAGAGGAGGTGAGATTGCAGCTGTATCTTGAAGGATTGAGAGAATGGGGATAGACTAAGAGGAAGAGAAACGTCCTTTCAGGCTGCAAGTGGAGTCTGGGATTTGGGCGTTTTGCCTGTAGGCATTAGGGCGGTAATTGAGGACGATGCTGATGACCCAGCACGAGTGTAGTGAAGGGAGATCATCTAGGGAATTTGCTAAAGTGAAGCTCTGTGAGGCCGGGGCTGCGTCTTTGTTCGTCATTGTGCCTGACCCTGATACACCACTTGCACGTATGTTGAAATGGTGAATAAGTCTGTAGTGCTCCAGGATGGTAATTATGAACATAAGGTTGTAGGGGGAAGCAAAGAGGCAGTCAGAGATGCCCTCGAGGGGGCGCCTGGGTGGCTCAGTAGGTTAAGCAGCTGGCTCTTGGTTAGGACCCAGGTCATGATCTCACGGTTCGTGGGATTGAGCCCCAAGTGGGGCTCTGTGCTGACAGCACGGGGCCTGCCTGGGATTCTCTCTCCCACGCTGTCTGACCCTCGCCTGCTTTTGCACACTCACGTGCACTCTTTCTCTCTCAAGTGAATAAACCTGAAAGAAAGACATACCCTTGAGGTTTAAAGCAAGCAAGAGTGACTGGAAAGAAGGAGCCATAAGTACGAAAGTCTGGAGGGGAGGTGCCCATGATTTCATTAAACATTGACCTTGACATGTGAGAGGACATCTATCTTGAAATGACCAGAGGCTCCGGAAGGCTCAGGGAGATGGGGACAGCAGGGCAAGCTTTGCCACTTGGCAGCTCTGTGACCTTAGGGACGTTACTCCCTGAGCCGCAGTTGCTTCAGCTACAGAATGGAGAGGAGGATAGTATGTACCTCACGGGACTATTGTGGAGAATCAATGAAGCTGTGGCTATAAAATGTCAGAGTACTTGGCACATGGTGCTCACTAAATGACAGTTATGAATGTCACCGTGGTCACGGGAAGTGGTATGCAAAGTCAGCAGCTGAATGTCTGAGTATAGACCGAACGGAAGGTTAAAGATTGAATCTTGAGGAATGTTAGACAGTGAAAGGAGGAAGAAATCCAAAGGGAGACCAAGAAAAAGCTGCCAACAAGATAGTTCTCAGCTTGTGTGAGGTGGAAACAGGTAAGTGGAGAGCTTGAGTGGCAAGGTGGAGTGAGGGGGCGGCGGGGTGTCCTGTTCACTGTGGCCGTCCAGATGTGCTGTTCGAGTGGGACCTCATTACAGTCACCCAGAAAACTTTCACGCCATTACAGTCACGCCAAAGAAACTTTCATCTCTTGTTTGTTTTTAGGATTTGTCCTGGGAGGTGCGTTTGGGGTATTCACTGCTGGCATTGATACCAATGTGGGCTTTGACCCTAAGGATCCGTATCGTACGCCGACAGCGAAAGAAGTTCTTAAAGACATGGGGCAGAGAGGGATGTCCTACGCCAAAAATTTTGCCATTGTGGGCGCCATGTTTTCCTGCACTGAGTGCTTGGTAGAATCTGTAAGTGTCTCTGCCTTCTGAGAGAGCCATGCCTGTGCCATGTTACGGCTTCTAAAGAGAAATGCTCTGAATGTTAATTAGAAAGCAGGTCAGAAATGTCTGGTACTCACTCGCTAAACTGAATTTCCATTAGTCCATAATGTAAACTTTTTGTGCATTTATGATTTGGGCCTGCGTTATTTTTTACTTCTCTTCATAAATTTTAAGTTGGTTAATGGTTTTATTTTTTTAAGTTTTAAAAATTCTAGCCAGTTAACGTACAGCGTCATACTAGCTTCAGGTGTACAATGCAGTGATTCAGCAACTCCATACAGCATGGGGCTCGAACTCCCAACCTCAAACTCAAGATTCACACTGACTCAGACAGGCAGGCACCCCAACAGTTCTGTTTTTAACTTTCTGGGGAAACTTCATATCCTTTTCCAGAGTGGCTGCACCAGTTTGCGTTCACACCAACAGTGCATGAGGGTTCCCCTTTCTCCACATCCTCGCCAGCACCTGTGGTTTCTTGGGTTGTTGATTTTAGCCATTCTCACAGGTGTGAGGTGACCTCTCACTTAGTTTTGATTTGCATTTCCCTGACGACGAGTGATGTTGAGCATCTTTTCATGTCTCTGTTAGAAGTTGGTCAGGGCACCTGGGTGGCTCAGTCAGTTAAGTGTCCTACTTGGTTTCCACTCAGGTCATGATCTCACAGTTCAAGGGATCGAGCCCTGCATCGGGCTCTGAGCTGGTAGTGCAGCACCAGCTTAGGATTCTCTGTCTACCTCTCTCTCTGCCCCTCCGCCACTCACACCGTTTGTTGTGTCTGTGTGTCTGTGTGTGTCTGTGTCTCCCTCCCTCCCTCTCCCTTGCTTGCTCCAGATAAACTAATTAATGAAAGAAAAAGTTGGTTAATGGTTTTATTATTTTAAAAAGTTTTTTTTTTTATAATGTTTTTAAATCTATTTTTGAGACCAAGAGAAAGCACAAACTAGGGAGGGGCAGAGAGGGAGGGAGACGGGAACTGTTTTACAACAGGCTCCATGCTGACAGCAGAGAGCCCGATGTGGGGCTCAAACCCACGAGCTGTGAGATCATGACCCAAGCAGAAGTCAGAAGCTTAGCCAACTGAGTCACCCAGGCGCCCCTAATGATTTTATATTTAAAAGTAAAAAAAAATTTTTTTAAATAATGTTTTTATTTATTTTTGAGAGAGAGAGAATGAGCCAGGGAGGATCAGAGAGAGAAGGAGACACAGAATCTGAAGCAGGCTCCAGGCTCTGAGCTGTCAGCACAGAACCCGATGTGGGGCTCAAACTCATGAACCATGAGATCATGACCTGAGCCAAAGTCAGATGTTTAAGTGACTGAGCCACTCAGGCGCCCCTAAGTTTTTTGTTTTTTTTTTAGGGTGGGTTGTTTATTTATTTTATTTTGAGAGAGAACGTGAGAGAGGGAGGCACAGAGACAGAGAATCCCAAGGCTGAGCTGCTGGGCTCAATCTCACGAACTGTGAGATCATGACCTGAGCCAAAATCAAGAGTCTGATGCTTAACCAATTGAGCCACCCAGGTGCCCCAGAAGTTGGGTCAGTGATTTTAACCATGGGACTTACTGGGGAACCAAAGAGGTTTTGGTCACGTCTCAGATGGTACCCTTGGTTTCTGCACTCCGGTACCACCTTCGGGAGGCATCCAAGAGCATGTTCAAATGTTAGGAACTATACTTTTGAAAGCAAAAAAGATTAGATTTCTTTCGGGGAGGGGCTCATGTAGCCAGCTAGAAACCCTGTGTTTTTTCCCCCTTAATCATCTTGTCTGGCTCGTTTCTTTGGCTCTCAACTGCACTTCTCCACCCACAGTACCGGGGAAAATCAGATTGGAAGAACAGTGTCATTAGTGGCTGCATCACTGGAGGAGCCATTGGTTTCAGAGGTTAGTAAACAGCTCTCACGTGGTTTTCTTTGTGGCCCTGGACAGCATGCTGTAGTTAGTGTTTCCAAACGTAGGAGTGTTTCAGCTACAGCCCAAGGCATCTCTGGACACTTGATACTCTTCCGTCCGACGAGTAAATCACATTTACTTTTTTATTAACTTCATTTTGGAAACTTCTAGCATCTACAGCAGGGTTTTTCATCTCTGGCACTACCGACGTTTTGGACCAGAGAAATCTTTGCTGGAGGGAGAGCAGGGCTGTCCTGTGCATTGTTTGGCGGCGGTGTTTAGCAGCGGCCCTGGTCTCTACCCACCAGATGCCAGGAGCATCCCTTCGTTGCGACCGCTGAAAGGGTCTCTAGATGTTGCCAAATTTCCCTGAGGGGCCAATCACCCATGGCTGAGAACCACAGAAGGATCTAGATCTTAGAGAATAGAACTGGCTTCACATTGAAACAATGGGGAGAACGTCCCCCCAGGAATCCCTGGAGTGTGTGCTCTGCGCAGCAGCACGGCGAGGCCTCGCCCAGCCCCCGAGAGCCCACCTGTCCAAACGGCGGGCCCCGTGACGCCCGCAGCCCCGGGCATTTCATGTAGCTGAGACGTTTTTGTTAGTACTGTACAGTTGTCAGTTTTAGTGTTGTATACAAGTTATACGGTAATGTGCTTTCACGTCGAAGGTTCTTAGGCTCCTACCCATTGAGAGCTGAGTGTCCGGTTGTCAGCTGTGAACAACAGAGAAACCCGTCTCCTGCGCTTCTCTCTGTCGGCGTGCCCATCACGAGTGTGGGGTGGGGTGTCTGTGTCCGACTCTCTTCACAGTGTCCATTCCTGGGCCACTCTCCCTCTTCTGTGACCCGATTTACCCTGAACAGCCCATTTTCTCATTCCCTGAGAGGCAGGATTTGTGGTCCCTAAGAGCCGCTTCTGCTCCTCAGCCCCTTGTGATGTGTAGAGTAGCTTCTCGTCTGGTCTTCCCACCGCTCCGCTTTGCCAGGGACTTGGAGAAGCCCGGCTCCCTCTGGGACGGCTTGGATCACCTTCCCAGGGACTTGTTTCATAAACAAGTCAGGGTGACAGGCCGTGTGCTTTCACTCGCTTCCAGGGGCCGGTTCTCTTAACCAGTTTCCTGCCTGTGAGGGGCTATTTCACGAAGCTGCAAACAGTAATTCTTCGGGATGAGTTGAGTCCAACGTCGGTTGCATCAAGCACACTAGAGTAGATGGTGTCCACGGCTCGTTGAAGTCTTGCGGATCTGGTGGGTTTGGTTGAATGACCTCAAATGCCTCCACGGGGAGGTGACTCCCGAAGCGGCCTGACTCCGTGTTTGTCACCACAGATAACGCCATTTCTGTTTGCTTTACAGCTGGCTTAAAGGCCGGGGTCATTGGTTGTGGAGGTTTTGCTGCCTTCTCTGCTGCGATTGATTATTATCTACGGTGAGAGTTCCTGCCTCCAGGGAAGGACAGTGCCAGCCCGGGATCACAGCCGTTCCGTGGGGGGCAGTTTCTGTACCACTCTGGGCACTTGCTTCCAAGACCGAAGACCTTTGTTCTCCCTCACGTAGCTGGTGTCATGAGGGACCCACGGGGCTGCTGTCTGCCTCCAGCCTCTGAGCGGCCGTACTGTCTGTTCCTGGGTTTCAGCTGCGCTGCGTGGGGGATGTGCCACAGCGGCCTGTCTCTTTCAGGCAGATCAGGAGTCAGTGTGTTGACTTGTAGGAATTAAGCTCCCCAAAGGCTCAGTCCTGACCACAGCTGGCCCTCTGGTGGTTTGGTGCTGGGACCAGAGGCGACTGGACGTCCACCCAGGAAGTGCGGAACTCCACGCAGTCCTCCATCTCACACGTGAGGGCGGGGCGGGGCATGGCAGATTTACACCACCTCTCCCATCTTGTCCTTTTGTTTAGTGTTGTCTTTGTTAAAAAAACTTATTACAGTTTAAAAGGTTGGTTCGTTTTGGGTGGGGAGATGGTGACAGCCTGGGTCTTTGGAGCTGCCCTTGGGGCCCGCGGTGTCTTGTCCCCTCCTCTTCCACTTCCCTTTATAAAGAATAAAGGCCATTCGTACCATAAAATAAATGAATAAGTAAAAAGTAGTTTATTTTTATTTTCAAATTCCACGATTCCCAAAAATGGTGCCAGGTGGCCCAGAGGTTGACAAAGGCCCCAGGAGTCTGGGAGTGTTTGATGTCAGGGTTTGCCGAGGATTGTTCTGAGACCGTTACTTCAGCCAGGGCCTGCCCTCCGGGAAGCCCAGCGCAGGTGCGGCCCAGGCTACACTGGCCTTCGCGCCTAGGCCCTGGCCTCTTCTAAACCCCGTGGGCCGGGAAGGCCAGCGGTCCCAGCCATGTTCGTTTTAGGCTTTTAGCTCAAGGACCCAGTGTGCGCAGAGCCCTGCTGCGGTCCAGCCGGCGCAGCCTGGCTGTTCACACTCCGCTCATTCTCAGGTGTTGGGTTTTTCTGGTTGTGTGTGTGTGTGTGTTCTAGCATCTTCGTGTTTTTTTATTTGACCTTGTGGCCTCTTTCTGACAACGAAAGCTCATCCTAATTGTGTTCCCTGGGGCAAAAAAAAAAAAAAAAGGTTTTTATGGTTGGGATCTGTCCTGAGTGCTTCTTTACCTTGGTGCTTCCTTGATGAAGGTGACGAGCTCAGGCTTTGCCACTTGGGGGAGGCAGGCAGGCTTTGTGGGGCTGTGCAGCTCCAGCCACTTCAGCCCCAGGAACGCCTTCTATTTGCTGCTGCACACTCACTTCTTCATCTTTTTTTTTTTTTTTTTTTTTGCTCGCTTTTCCCCTTTGCTGCGGTCTTCTGTAGCTCACCCATCCTTAACCAGAATTCAGACACTCAGCTGACGTGTCCAGGTGCCCCAGGCGTGAGTGTGTACATGAGTGATCACGTCCACCTCAGCTGGTGACACCTTCCTCTGGCTGTGCCTGCTCTCTCCTTTGCCGTGGAGTGTCAGCTAACGCATTTGTGTCCTTCCATGGTGAATTCTATGTAATAGCTAGTCCAGGCCCACAGGTGTGAGACTTCGTTGCTCCTAGGCCAGCTGGAGTAGCCTCAGAGGTCTGGGAACAAAAGAGTGTTTCCTGTACTGTCCCTAAATATGTCACCTATAAGCACTTTGAGAGCAAGAGCAGACGCTCCTACCTGCCGTCTTCTACCAGCCGGTCCAGCAAGTAGGGTCAGATACGCCGAACAAGGATACGAAATGCTGCCTTCAGGAGCCCCTTGGACAGATGAGCCCCGGGCTGCCAGTAGCCATCACTTCAGTAAGCCAAGCATTGTCCACACGGACTATTCAATCAAGAAAGGAGATGAATAGTTTCCTGTTTTAGATGGCTAAGAGTCCGTATGAGCTCATAAACCAAACACCGATTTTCAGAGACATCTGTTCCTGATCTCCAGAATAAACACAGTGTCCAATGGCTTAGGCCGGTGGGAACCTATATGAACCCTACTGGCTCTCCTAAAGGGAGGAGGCGGGGCCCCCTAGGGGATCCAGCGTCTGCAATCATCAGCCTAGGCCAAAAGGTTGCCCCAAAGACGCCCACTGCCAAGAAGGTAGAGAAGAGCTTAACACAAAAGACGACTCCACGGGGATGGACAGCTCTCTGCCATCTATCAGAGGCACACTGATTGCCAGGTCGTTGGCGGGCCCTTTGTCCTTCATGAAAGGGATTGGCTGGTGACTGACCTGGAGGCCTCTGTGAGGCAGGCAGAGGGGGCTTGGGCTCACCTCCCCCCAAACCACCACAGTCCCCATAGGCCAAAAAAAGGCTCAAGAGAAGTTAACTAGGTGCACAGATCCCTGGAAGCTCCCATCTGGATGCAGCTGGAAGAGTTAAAATGTTTAGATTGGTGGTCTTCCCTGGACTACTGAGTATACAAATGTCCACACCACAGGGCTGGGTTGTGTGCAAATGTTGGGGCGTTGCATTTTTTTTTTATTAACATTTTTCTCTCATGTGGTTTACATCAATTTATAATAATCTACATAAGTTGAAACAGAACATAGACAAAAAAAATATATCCTTACCAACTTAATTAAAGTCAAATATTAACGAAGGTTCCCATCCTACCTGTATCAGCAAAAACTGGCCGCCCACAGCCATTGCCAGCAGGGACGGGCATCCTGGGACTCCTGTCGCCTGTCTGCTGGGCTCCTGTTGGCACAGCCTGCCCCGCTGGGCACAGTGGCTGGGGATTCTGGGCTGCACAGTCCCTGACTCTCAGGAGAACCCATGGGCCCTTTTCCTTGGTGCAACTTAGTCCGTGTCTGGTTACCTGCCCTCCCCACCCCCCGTGGGGGCCTTTTGCATTTCTCAGCCCCTCCAACCTTCCTCCGGTTCTCAAGTTGCCAAAGCAAGTTTGGGGGCTGTGGTGGCCACCTGGTGCTGGGAAGCAAACGCCTCCTGTTTCGGGGAGGTGGGAGGCACCCATTGTTTGGCTGTAATAGCTCTGGCTGGTCGTCCAGTTCATTACCATGAATGGCTTTGGACGCAGGAGCCTTCCATGCCCTACACCGGCTCCTGAGTGCTGAGCAGAGACCCCCAGGGTGGTCACAAGCTGGGATCTTTAGACTCAAATGCTGTTGGTTTTCCACCTCCTCTCCCAGGGAGCAGGGCTCCTCGCTAGGCCGCTAACGTGCAGCTGTTAGTCATTTCCTTCCTCTGATGTGCACAGAATGTGTACCGTTCTGCCCAAGATTGGGCAACAGGTGTAAACAAGATCAGAAAGGCCCTTCCTCTCACTGAGCAAACGTTCGAGCTGTAGGGCCAGCAAACCCTTCTTTAGAACTCCGCCCCGAGCACAATCTAAGGGAGCTGTTTCCTGCTCTGCCGCCCGGAACCAGAGAGTACCGCGGCTCCAGCCTAGGCTGTCTGCTCTCCGAAGCCGCCCGCCGCGTGCCGGCAGCTACTGCTCAGGTGGGAGGAGATCCCGCTCAGTCCTTTCCACTGTGGAGAAAGGGGTCTCCGAGTTGGGAACAGAACCTGCTGATCCTCTGCTCTGGGGCAGAGTGTCAACAAGGAACGTCCCCAGCAAATCCCAGTCCCCAAAGAGGCAGATGCCTGTGACTCCTCGTTCCTCCCCAACCTCTGGAGTTGCCTAGAGTTCACCCAGGAGGCCGCATCGAGAAGCTGTGGGTGGGGAGGCAGCACCAGGACTGCCAGCAGGACCACGCCTGTCTTTCCCAGGCCCTGTGGCGCCCACGGCCTCGGGGCTGCCCCGTGGCAGTGCTTGGCTGTGGAGGATGCGTGAAATCTAAGGCAACGGTACCACAAGGTGGGAGAGGCTACGAGAGGCGCCAGGAAGGGCTGCCTCCTGGATGGAGCCTGCCTGTTTCCAGACACCTGCGTCGGCCATATTAGTTGCCCTCCTAGAGACCTGGCTCCACTAGAGAAGCCACTGGAATTCCTTGCTGTTGAGAGCCGCTTCCCCCCAACCTGGGGCACCCGGTGCTACGTGGCACTCCTCTGAATGTCCAACCGGTCTTGCTTCCTCAGTGGCCCACCTCCCCCGCTTCCTGACCCTCTGGCTCTCTTGCTATCCGGTCACTTGTGAGTCTCTACACTCCAAGAACACCAGGGGAAAAGGAACTGAAAAGCAGAAGAACAGTCAAAGATGCCTCACTAGTAGGCAGGAGACAGAACAGAGAAACCCCAGGAATGGAGATTGTCAGGTGGAAAATTCCAGAAATCTGCTCTCCAGCTCTTGTGCTAAGCTGAGGATTAGTGTGAGTCTGTCTCCCTGTCCAACATTTGCACAGGCAGCAAGGCAAAGCAGGTGTGCTTCCACAGGTAGACAAGGAAAGGGCTGGGGGTCGGGGGGGCAGCCTTCGATGGGCCGCCGCCGCCGCCGCCGCCGCCCAGGGTCTCCTCAGCTCTCGAAGTGATGGAGCCAAAACCAAGGCTGCACATGCATGTGGGCGGGCTGGGGGGAAGGAGAGGGTGGAGGAAACCCCGGGGGAGGCTGCCAGGAGACTGCAGTCTGGGAGCAGGGCCAAGAGAGGAGAAGCTGGCAGCGGCTACAGAGCGCAAAATAAAAGCCCTTGGACTGGACTCGGGAGGAGAGAGAGTGTCGGAGGAAATGAAAGAACAAAGCAGGCTGTCTGTATGCCCTTACTGGTCGGTCACTACCATTTCTGCATGACAAATAGACATAAAACAATTCCTGAACAGCACGGAGCATTAGACACAACTAGAGGTACGGAGGGCAGGGCCCGGGCGCGGCGGTGAGGCGGGGGGGCTGGGCCAGCTGGCTTTGTACAAGGTGGCACGAAAGATGCGCGTATTCCAGTTCTTGGAAATCTGTGTCCCTTGGAGTCTGGAGTGCTGGGTTTGGGAGTTTGCTATTGTAGTCTTTCAAGTCTGTGTCGGGTCCCCCGGCTGGAGGGGCTGGCTCGGGCCGCCCCCCACAGCGGACCCCACCTCGGGCTACACATCGGTGGAGAAGTACAGTGTGTTCCGCTTCAGTTCTGCGAAGGAAATGGGGGGGTGCTGCAGGTAGTAGAGGAGGACCTGGACCTGTGGGGGGACAGGGAAGACTCAGGCTGGGGTCCCCGTCCTCCAGGCCCTCTGATCTGCTGAGAAGAAGTGGCCCTGCACTGGGGTCACCTCGGGGCCACTCCCCTCCCTGCCCTCGGGCCGCTTCCCCTCCCAGCAAGCCTAGCTGTGCCTGCCTGTTGGCAGCAGCAGAGGGCACTGCAGGGCAGGGGCTCGGGGAGCCTGGGGCCACTTTCCCAACCTCAGTCAGAGGCTTCCAGTCTGCTCCAGAGGCTGGCTTTGGCTGGGCGGCCTTGCCTCAGACTGGACTCTGCCCTGGGTCTTGCAGGGATTCCAGGGAAGTTTCCCGACCCCAGAAGCAATCCTAGAGCTCCCACACACGAGGACAAGACCCCCAGATGTTTCCTGTGCCCCTGAGCTGGCTTTCGGGATCGCAGCCAGCACCTGGGCCCTCCTCTGGGCCCCTGGTCTAGGCTCAGACTTCTGCGGTGCCAGTCCCGAGCCCTGATTCCCTGGCCACATTCCACAGACCACCCGCCCCATTGCTCGGGAGGGAAGGGGTGTGGGACTCT